TGTGGCAGTAGAGAGGTGCAGTGTGTTGCAGTCGGTGCCAGGTCAGAGTTGGGAGCTCTCCAATTTTGCTCTGTGTTTGTGCGCTCTTCTTCCCACTCCATTGTGTTCGCTCGCACTAAGCGCAGATTCGTTTGAGAGACGTAGCGTCCGCGTGCATGTGGATGTGGTGCCAGAATGTGTTTTTTGCACAGTGATTGTGCACGGTGGAAGTGCGAACTGAAGTGCCTTCACATCTCTCCGCCGATTCTTCTTTGCATTGCCTTCTCGCAGTGGCCATGTTTGGAATCGCACTAGCAGTCACATGGGATTTTAATGCCTCCAGCCCGCTTCTCCTTCTCCACTGCATTTCCGGGTGGGCAGCATAATTCAAGAAGGGCAGGCTGGGGGGCGCACATGCGCCCGCTGGTTACTCTTTTTTTAAAACACTGCCCCAGTTTCAGGCTGCAATGTTACCGAACTAATACTGTGCCAGTGGCAAGCTGCGCGGCAACAGCAATGACGTCGTCCACTAATTATGATCGAATAGCAGCAGCATCCTGCCAGGATGCCAATGATCGCCGTAAGCTGTTCAGTGATCGTTTTGCAACGTGAAGATGATGCAGAAGGACAGGGAGGGAGAGAGGCTTAAGCAAGCAGAAGAGGCTGATCGCAAATCGGGTGCAGTGGCATGCCTGTCAGTGATGGGACTGGTGCGCTGCTGCACTTCCTCGAGGAGCGGCAGCTTGCCCCCCTCCCCGCCCCAACTCAGAGTCGCAGTGTTTTCTGTTTTTCAGGTTGTGCGCATAACATCGATGCGTGTGGTGTGCTAAAAGATATAACATTTGTGAGGATCACTTTGGACAGTATGTATATGAACGAGGAGGATGAGTTCATCGAAGAAGTGATCAGAAGCCGATGTCTTTTTGGGTACCTCTTATTATGTTTTCGATTAATCCCCCACTCTTTCAAGAAATAAGAGACGCTTTAGGGCGAGCGAGGACGAGACGGGGGGATAAAATTCAAAAAGCTTAAACGTACAGCCTGTGGAAATTTTGTTTCATTTCCCAGAGCAGCAGCGAGCAGCTTCAAGCTATTTTGGTGTTCATCTTTTTATCACTGCTGCTGTAACTAATGCATCCATCGAATTCCACTCTGACGAAAGGACTCACGGAGAGAGAGAGAGAGA